CAATCCTCAATCTTATGTTCTGTCCTTTCCGCCCTCTGTACCCACCGGGGTCCTAATTCCCACATAGGACTCTGACAAAAACCCTCATCATCTCATCAGTTTCGACTGAAGTATCGTTTTAAAAAAATCAAGTAGGTCTTTTCCTGTTTTTTTTTTTTCATGTTTAGCTGCTACCATCCCTGCTTCCTCCACCCACATCGCCCCGTGTAATTTTCTCTAAATAGTCTCTTTGTCTCCGTAATCAATGCACAATGAGAAAGTGACAAACCTTCCCTTCGCTGTATCGGGGAGCAGGTCAGTTTTTTTTTTTCCCTCATATGGGTACATTTCTCTCTCAAATATCCTGACAAACAGACAATCGATAGGAGATGCGGGGAGGCGAGGATTTGTAATGAGATTGCCTCTCGCGGCGCGCTGAGACTGTGTCTGATTACTATTGGCAGACCAGAACACGATGAAAAAAGAGCCTCTCCATGAAACCAGTGACACTTCACCTCATGTGTTGCATCAGTTTCCTTCTACAGTTTTCTTACAAAACACACGGGGGAGCGGGAATCTTTCCAGAGGAGAAAATCGGGGGCCTGAAAAATCTCTAAACGTGACGAATGGCGTGAGGACGCGAACAAGGGAAGCATTAACAGTGAAAACATGGACGAAATGTGGGGAGGTGTACAGTGTGACAGTGAAAAGAAAGGCCTCTGTGGTGATGATGAGGCAGGAAGCTACCAAAGTTTTCTACTCAGCAGTACAAAATGTGCCGGGCTTACCTTACAGACACACTGCTCAGTGGTCTATTTAACCAAATTTAGATCATGCATATAATCCAATCCATAACTGGAGACACTTCAATCTAATTTTGGTGGAAATGTATATGAAAAATGACACCCAGAAATGCTTTGGTTTCTCCCGGCGTGTTATTTGGTGCAACTCGAGGCTCTTACTCGCAGGGTTTCGGAGATTTCCCGCTGCACTCCAAATTGCCGTCTGACATTATTAAGTTACGTGGAGGTGGTCTATTTTACTCCGCAGCCTTCGCCAGGACTGAAACTTCCACACTGTAGAGATGACTCAGGGAGAAGACTCGGCGTCGTCGGGATTTGTCACGATTTCATCACGCGGGAGACAAATTACCGGAAAAAAAAAACCCCAACACGGAGCGTCTTAGTCAGGTGTTGGGCCACCACATGCTGCCTCGGTCCGTCCCTCTAAAGGGACAAGTGGACCGTGCCGGCGAAACACCCCCCAAAGCATAACACCTCAGCGCAGAGGTCAAGCATTAAGGCCTGTGTCGCTCTCTTATTGCACGCCTCACATGCACTCACCCACTTGTTAAGAATACGGTGACTCATCTCGCCATATCCCTTTTTTCTCCCCCTCCAACATCTCTATAGACCAGCGTCTGTCATTTTTGCACCACTGAACTCTCAAATGTGCATTTTGTAATGAGAGATTTATGCGCCGCAGCCGTAAAATAATACCCCCCTGTCCGTGTTGTTGTCAGCGGGCTGCTCCTGCTGATGCAGCCTGATCGGGAATCGCTGGATTTGCTGGGTTTCTCTCTGTAACGTAACACCACAAGGTCTTCCTCTTACTATGTGGAGTGACCTGAGATGACTTGTGGGGCTGATCATGTCCTGCGTTGACATTCTGAGGAACAGCTGCTTTTCGGTTTTTGTTTACATGTTGCACAGGTGCACTGATCAAAGTAGGGATGAACGATATATCGGCGACCACATCGGTATCGGGCAATATTACCTTTTCTTCTGATATATCGGTACGAATGAAAAAATTTAGCCGATGATTGTCTAACATTAGCGCCTTCGTCTCTACGTTTGATATTGCTGCTATTTCACAGATCTTTCTACTTAAATGGTCCTGGACTTGACCAGGTACACATGGTAGAGCCTCCAATAGCAAGGTTGGCGGTTCGATCCCCGGCCCCTCCACAGTCGAAGCGCCCTTGGGCAAGACACTGAACCTGAAGTTGCTCCCGATGGCAGGCAGCACCTTGCATGGCAGCTCTGTCACCATTGGTGTGTGAATGTGTGTGAATGAGAAACACATTGTAAAGCGATGTATAGGTGCAGACCATTTAAATGTGTTTTATTTCTGTTATGTAATAAAGAAGACTATGTGGTCCAGTTTCCACGTTCTCACAGGGCTTACTTTTAGTCATTTTTCGGCGTGAACAAACATTGAATATCGACATCTTTAACATCGGTTATCGGCGATATCAGAAATCTTAATATCGGTATCGGCCAGAATTTTTAATATCGTGCATCACTAAATCAAACATGCCTTGTCAAGGAGAATTTCTGACCATTTTGAATGCTGTCTTTTCCACAGATCTGAACCCACATGTCACATCAGTCCATGTTCCTATTGAAGTACCAGCCAGATGAAGCTCCTGCCATCTGTGCCTCAACAATGAACCCTCTTCCAAAGTCACTTAAACCCTTTCCTCTTGCCATCTTGGAATCAAAATCAGCCTTTCATGCTCTACATTATAATACATGATTTAATATTACTTCCTTGTGCCATGCAGTGCACACGTATGGAAGCATTAGTAGTATAAAGAGCAATAGTTATATTAAAAATGCAGAGGCGAGGCACCAGACGACTTGTCTCCTCTTTACATTAAAGTGATATTTGTATTTAGGAGTACATGGGATAAAAGGAAACATAAATCCAGAGCTTTCCTACCTTTAGAACCTGTTCCAGGTTATCCACTTTGCCCTGGAGTTGGCTCCTCTCCTGCTGGGCCACGTCTCTCTCCTGGCTCACGACAACAAAGGTTTGTCTCAGCTGGTCATAGTCAGATCGCACCTGTGAATCCAATCCAGAAACAAGAGCGGAGTTGTTAGAAGTGTGTGTCATCACGGATACAAGCGAGACAAAGAAAAGAAAAAGACAGTGTGAAAAAGTGCACTTTAATTTCCTCGTTGTTTTACTTGAAGAGTTTGAAAATAAGGCCATTATTCTGTTTTCTAAAGAGGAAAACAAGCATGCAATTTTTATGAGGTTTGCTCTTGCAGCAGACCTACTTTTTACATTTATGAATAGAGGCTGTCTCTTTTTTTGGCTGTAGGGTTGATTGAGAGTTCACAATCTGAAGAGAAATTAATCAGCACATTTCCATTTAGCCTTGATGAGACGGGGCTGCTGACTGGAGCGTTCTGCCTCTCATTTCTTCATCAGTCAGAGGCCTTGAGCTAAGCTGGTTCCTCTAAAGGTGGCCTCACAGGATTGAGCCGAAACCATCCCTCAGCCACACAGCCATCATCTCATTAATTAACAAAACAGATGAGCGCACAATAGATAAGCTCGCTCGCTCAAAGTGCACAAAAACCGGTCCGCCGCGAGGAAAATGGGATCGTTTATTTTGTGCGACTCAGACGTGTCGGCGCCGTCCAAATCAAGACGACTAACATGTGGAACCAGGAGTGGAGCCGTAATTATTCATAACCGCGGTTTGTTTAGAGACGAGCTTTCCGGATAGATGCTTTACGTTATAATTAAACCGGGTCAGTAAAGAAAACTCTGCATCTGGTGACACAAAATCAAACCTTAAAAATCAATAGAATGATAATAAAACCATGTGTTCGCATCAGCTTT